ATAAATTTCATGACAGATATTTGATATTTGTTATTTAACAGAAATCTGATTACAAGCTAAACGAAATTGCATGACAATATTAAAAAAACTTTTAACACCGTGATCGACAATACAACGTTAGAGATACATATTTCTAGTATGGTAGATAGAATAAGTAAAGGACTTCGAATCTTAATAGATTTCCTACGTTTTATTGCGATTAACTTCAAGATATGGAATCAATAATAGATTATATATATATATATGGTTGTTTCGAAATCATAGTTTAGTGCCAAAGCTTACTTACTTACGTCTGTTACTCCTCGTGAAGGAACATAGGCCGCTCACCAGCATTCGCCATCCAACCCTGTCCTGGGCAATTCTTTTTAGCTCCTCCCAGTTGTTATTCATCATTTTCATATCTGCTTCTATTATCCGACGCAATGTGTTCTTTGGCCTTCCTCTTTTTCGCTTCCCTTCAGGATTCCAAGTTAGGGCTTACCTCGTGATGCAGTTTGACGACTTGCGTAATGTATGTCCTATCCATTTCCATCGTCTTTTCCTAATTTCCTCTTCAGCTGGAAGTTGGTTTGTTCTCTCCCACAGAAGGTTATTGCTGATGGTATCCGGCCAATGGATGTTGAGTATCTTGCGTAGACAGTTATTTATAAATACTTGTACTTTCTTGATTGTGGTTGTTGTAGTTCTCCAAGTTTCAGCTCCATACAGTAGAACTTCCTTGACGTTCGTATTGAAGATTCTTACTTTGATATTGGTTGAAAGTTGTTTTGAGTTTCATATGTTCTTCAATTGTAGGAATGCGACCCTTGCTTTGCCGATCCTCGCCTTTACGTCTGCATCTGATCCTCCTTGTTCATCGATGATGCTTCCCAGGTATGTGAAGGACTCTACATCTTCCAGAGTTTCGCCATCAAGTGTGATTGGATTGCTGTTCTCCGTGTTGTTTTTGAGGATCTTGGTTTTCCCCTTGTCTATGTTGAGGTCTACTGATGCAGAGACTGCTGCTACACTGTCTGTCTTTATCTGCATTTGTTCATGTGTATGTGATAGGAGGGCTAGGTCATCTGCGAAGTCCAAATCGTCTAATTGATTCTGAGCTGTCCATTGTATGCCGTGTTTTCCCTCGGATGTCGAGTTAGTGACAAAACGCTGTTACGAAATGTGACTGTGAATTCATTCCTATACAGTCATGATTAAGTGTCTAGTAAAGTCTTTCATATCAACCAGTAATGTAAACTGTATACTTGTGACAATCAAACGTTTTACAGCTATTTTCTCAGGCTTAAATAAAATATTACTTCTTCGAGATACATTTTAATAACGTTGTTCAAAGGAATGTTATACTTGCAAAATGAAATGCATCATCTATCAAGGAAAACGATTGCTGGAGTGATACAAGGAATAAAGACTTAAATTGGAAGAAAAACTACTTCAGTGACTATTCAGTAATTAATTGTCTTTAATTGCCATCTCTCGTTTTGAAGCAAGAAATGCCAATAAATATAATTAAAGTCTAATAGGATTTTATACATTAGTGGTATTTGAATTATAACGATTTCATCTAACATAGTCCAAATGGTACTGCCTAATTTGCTAGTGACATCTGAAAACTAAAAAAAAATTAGGTTAACTTATTAATAAATCAACGTATTAAATAATTAGTGATTCATGAGAAAATGGAAAACAGATAAATCATATTATGATACTGAAAGAAAAGCAACATAATTTTAAAAAAAAATATGTAGCATTACATATTTAATAAAGAATGATGAAAAAAAGATAAGCAGAAAATAGTCTCAATGGAACAAAAATCAAGTTGAATATGAAAAAAAAGCTTGATTACTTCCATTAACTCTGAATTTCTAAATTAGTCGATATTCACATGCTTCAAGCTGAATATTTTTTTTACAACAGAAAGGCGTACTGTTATTTCAATTGTTTTGTTTAAGGGAAACGAATTGTTGTTTTTCGTAATGTTATAAGTGAATAATAGGACTACGGTATATTTTACAAACTAAGAGAAAATGGAAAATTATTTAGGATTGTGAAATGGTTCTATGCTTATTTTTAAAGTGACACTGGTAATTTTGATGGCCTTAAATTAGGATAGTCCACTAAGAAATTAAGGTTCGGTTTGTCATCATCTGTAAATCACTTCTTTATATCAATCTATGTATGATGAGTTACATTTTCGGTTTTATGGTTAGTTATCAGTATGTTTTCTAAATTTTGCTTGGCTATACAATTTTGGTCTATTAATGTATTGAGTTTTAAAATGCTTGTGTTTGAATGCAAAATAATCGAAAATTAAAAAAAAGTTCTACACGAAAAATCATTTCTAGATTCAAATGAAATTTGTTTGGAACACTGACTGTTGCTCTTCATTTGTCTTCATTTTTTACACATTTTTCTTCCTTTATATTTGAAGTTATTTCCTAACTGTACTTTTTCCATTTCAACCTAAGTTTCTTTCATCAGTCATTCATTGTTTGACATTTATCACTCTGATGTGGTATTTACTTATTTCCTCTATATGTGGTGAAATATGTTTTATACATGAGTTTATGTTGTGAAAACATGGCCCATTTATGTTGTTATCAATTATTTATATATGGTTAATTTATTCAGTTAATTTTTATGTATTTTAAAGATTAACTACTGATAAGGTTGAACTACTAGGGGAATTATTTAGAAAGAAATGTGTTCATTTTTTTAAAATTATTGAAAACAGTTTTAGAAATTAACTTAACTAACTTTAGAAATAGGATGTTTATCATTTTCTGAAAGAATTCTCCATTCATAAATAGATTTATTGAGTGTTTACTTAACCTAATACCGTTTTTCGTTTCTAACCGATTAATTATTTATTACAGCGAAACCACTTTGTATTTTCTTATCCATTAAACTGTTTTTAGTAAACTGTTTTCTATTTTACCCCAAGACTGACTTTTAATGGTGACTATAACAGACATAAAAATCACTTAAATTTAATAGAAATTATACATTTCTTGAATGATTTGGTCCCACGTGATTATGTTAAATGATGAGAGGATGTAAACAACTAAGTTGTAAATCGGTAGATAAGCAATACCTATGTAATATTCTGGAAATATATTCCGTATAGTGTATTATTTGAGTACTTCTTGAAAAATCAAAATCGCAGCATCTAAGCATTCTACTACTTTTAAGTTATCTATGATCCTCTAATTATTTTCGTCTAGTGACAAAAGATTAGTTTCCCAGTTTCAAAAATTCCATGAATTACCACAGAACTGCACATTACTTCATGCAACAAACCAGGTATCTTCAAAACAACAGGGAAACGAAATCATCGTTTGTCAATGTGCGATACTGTGTTTAATCTCACTAAAAATATGGTCGGCATCGAAGATGAATATGTGTTTGAGTACTTTCAACAACTAACTAAAGGATTAGCAGTGAGAGTTCCAGTTTGAATATGCATAATAATTGATGTTACTTACTTGGATATTTTTATATTTAATAATTCACATGTAAATTGAATTGAACATATTACATTGTGTTTTCGAAGTGTACTTTTCTGGTTTGTAAAATTTCCTAAAGAAAGTATATTAGATGACTAAAACAGACTACTAATATGATTTAGGAAGTATATTCTAAAGAATGTACGTCTGTATATTGAAGTTATCGGTAAATTACCTCCATATTACCTAACTGCTTCAAAGCAGATTGCAGGGTATAAATACTATAACACTACAGTACCAAGAAAGAATTACAATAATTATCCACATTTCCTCATATCGATGAATTATAAACGGTTATTATTGATAGAAAAAATCATATGGAAACAAGAAATAAAAGAAAATTAGTGAGCACAAGTCACATAGACAAGAAAAGAATTTCGAGTAAGGTTAGAATGATTGAATACCACTTTCATTCCTTATTTTGCAGGTTTCGGAAATAATAAGTGAAAAAATGAATACTAGGATTAGACAAAAGTTTTCCATATTCACATTTCCTATTGCTTAACAATGGATAAATCTTGTCCATGTATAGTACTTGCTGATATGGAAATGTTTTCAGTTCGATTTGATAATAATAGAGCCACATTCAATCTTTAACTTAGAATGAAAACTACCTGATTCTGGTTTATTTTTAAGACTTAGTTCTAGAAAATTTTCTTATGTAAACTATTTTACTAAGTCATAGACAGTTTCCATTCAATATGAAGTCTTTCTTTGAAAAAATCTTGCGTTCTTAGTTGGTACAAAGGTTTAGGAATTTCGCCTTAGATTTTAAACCGAAGAAATTGATTTCAGAATGATTACTATTATCAGAATTATTTCCATCTTTTTTTATAAACATTTTTATGTTTAGGAAGACGATAAGTAAATTAAAAGCACCGAACACTTGAAAGCGCAACTTTGAACAGATGCTTTTGGTTTACCATCTTGGCATTTAACACTCAGATCCCAGCATTTTGGCAGTTGAAATAGAAAATCTATTGAGAAGTAGATTTAAGTATTTTGTAATCTTACCAATCACGTCTCTGCATTTTTTTTAAAACATTGTGAAAAGTTAAAGAAAGAATATATCCCTTATTTTTGCAGATAATTACTAAGTTAACATTTTGAAAGCTTTCATATTGGTCTTTATGATATCTTTTGTTTCACTAACCAGTTATGAGAGTGAACAGTAGGTTACTGGATAAAGAATTTGTATGATATTGTCATTAATTGATGGAAATGTCATTTCATGGTTCCTACAGCTCTTCTTATTACTATTATTGTAGACATGCACTTTATGTTTTATTTAAAGTATACTGTTTGGTAAAAATGTTGTAGTCTTTATTTATAGATAATGAGGATCAGCCAATCGTGAATAACATAGAAACTAACCAGTAAAAATAATTCACCGGATTATTTATTTATACCACTTGAAAAATGAATGTTTAACAGGTTAGTTTACAATTTGGGCGTTTCAGCATATTTCATATATTACGGTTTCTTTTTAAGAAAAACATGAATAATTTCACTTCAGTTTATGAAAGTGGTCAACTTAACAACTGGGGCACAAGTTCTGTTCATCATATTGATAATGTTTCTGATAGTTTCATGAGTAGTGATAAATATGGAAATTATATTATCATTCATAAAAACGAAACATCAATTTTTCTTAGTATATTAGTATTTTCTGTGTATATTATCACTATGCTATCTTCTTTCATTGGCAATACAATAGCAATATGTATATTTTTACGAAAACGTAAAAAATTTGGCATAAAATATCATACTACAATAAAACCATTTGCCAGGACTGAAAAACTGGTAGATTCAAATTCAGAAAATTATCTACAGTCATTAAAGAATCGTCAAGTTGATGGAAATTATGACACTTCAGCGAGTAATTATGATCACAATAATTTTTTGAAAAAGAACCTGGATAATTCAATAGAAAAAGCACCGAAGCACTTACACCATGTTATGAGAAACACATACCAAAAGCAAACATTTTATATGAATGGAGCATTTAATTATTATTTAGCCAGTTTAGGAATATCTGATTTATTCATGGGCCTTTTTTGCATTCCGTTTACATTTACACAAATTTATTTACATCACTGGCCATTTCCTGATTTAATGTGCCCAATTGTTGTTTATGTACAAATGGTTATGGTTACAGCCTCGTCATTAACAAATACAGTTATTAGTCTAAACCGATTATTTGGTATAATAAGTCCATTTAGATTTGATCATTGGCCTAGTAGACATCAAAAATCATTGACTATCTGCATAATAATAAGTATTTGGGCTATTTCACTTAGCGGTAGTACAGTACAACTGTTTGCAACCAGAACACAAATACAAGAACAAGATAAAAATTCATTAGAGCAACAAGAAGGATATTTAGCTGATCGTAAACTATGTCAGGAATCATGGGATGGAGATGACTATAAGCGATCAATTTATACAGTTGTACTTTTCTTAGTAATCTACATTATCCCACTGGGAATACAAACATCAACCTATGGATATATTAGTTTTAGGTTATGGAACCGCAAAACACCTGGGGAGTCAATTAAAGGTGTAGAAGATATGCGGATTAAAGAAAAGAAACGAGTAAGTCAATTCTCATTATTTAACATTTAAATTATTTATTGTGCGCAACCAAAATATTTTTATACAGATAGTCATATTTTTATATTTTGATAAGTTGGCATTAAGTAGATAGACAAGAAACTTAAAAAGAAGTTGATTGCAATCAGAAAATCAAATATTTAGACCATACATGAACCTTAGTTACAACAATAAAAAGATTAAGGTAGTACTTGTCATAATAAGACTAAAACATTAAAATTTTATTTATACAAAGTAAAGATGAGTTTTTGTTTGTTTGAATAAATTGACCTATAATTCTTTGTTTTAAAGTGAATATATTACTACGATCCGTATACTTTGTATATGGTATATCTGTATACTTGAATTCGTTGTCTTTTTTCTATTGTGCTAGACTGCTTTAAAAAACTCTTCTTTGTTTCAAACTATAATCTCCATACCACATTTGGTCAAATAGAGCTCGTAGATAATGATTATTTGTTGATCATAAATTTTAATTTTTAAATCGGTCATCACTTGTTTTATTGCATTAGACAATGTTACATCATATATGATTACAAAAATTTAACTCTACCATTATTATAATAAAAGTCATAAAAAGAACTGTTGAAATATTCTAGCATTTATTTGAAGCAGAAATTCCAGTAAGTGTCAACTTCATTGACATTCATAGTCATCCCTTCTAAGTTCTAACCATCATACTATTGACATTTTACATACTGTTCTGTTGATAATCGATTAAATACAGCTACATTAGGTAAGTTACAGAAAAAAAAGCAGTTCATAAAGGGATGCGATGAGACCATCCTGTTACAATTCAATCCATTGCTTTGCATTTTCCTGTTTTTCAACTGACATTTAAAATAATATTTTATGAATAAACATTAAGAATGAACTATTCACATATTTTAAACTATGTTTTTTAAACAGGTATTTGACCCGATTAATCAAAAACGCTGTTTGATGGACAGTAATCTGAAATGAAGTGTTGATATTCTATTTGTTTTGCACTGATTTATTTATTTAACTCCGCCTGTAGCTCTTATAGGGTCGCTGCCGGCCCCAAGCAACAACCAGAGCAAAAATTTTTATAGGTACATGGAACGTTCGAACAATGTGGGAAACCGGGAAGACTAGTCAAATATCAATGGAAATGAGGAGATACAACTTAGCAGTACTGGGAATCAGCGAAACCCACTGGACCCAAGCTGGACAGAAAAGGCTAGCTACGGGTGAGATGCTGCTATACTCCGGTCACGAAGATGAAAATGCTCCACACACTCAGGAAGTCGCTCTTATGCTGTCCAAAGTAGCACGAAATGGACTTGTAGGATGGGAATCTCACGGATCCAGAATCATCAAAGCATCATTCAAAACAAAGAAGGAGGGGATCTTAATGAATATTATCCAATGTTATGCACCCACCAATGATAGCAACGACGACATTAAGGATCAATTCTACGAGCGGATGCAGTCAGTGATAGAGAAATGCCCAAGAAAGGACCTCACCATTCTGATGGGAGATCTAAATGCCAAAGTCGGAATAGACAACACCAGATATGAAGATATTATGGGACGACATGGACTGGGAGAGAGAAACGAAAATGGAGAAAGATTTGCAAATCTATATGCATTCAACAAATTGGTCATAGGAGGCACAATATTTCCACACAAGTGTATACACAAGGCTACATGGATCTCGCCGGACCACACTACAGAGAACCAGATAGATCATATTTGCATCAACAAAAAATTCCGAAGGACAATGGAAGATGTGAGAACCAGGAGAGGTGCTGACATAGCTTTAGATCACCACCTAGTTGTAGCCAATTTAAAACTGAAGCTGAAAAAGAACTGGACAACTGGACAAACAGTACTACAAAGGTTCAATACAGCCTTCCTTCGAGATACTGACACACTCAATGAATTCAAGATAGCTCTCAACAACAGGTTCCAAGCCTTACAAGATCTACTGAAGGAAGAAGAAACTACTATGTAGGACAACTGGAAAAGCATCAACGAAGCATTAACTTCAACGTGTCAAGAAGTTCTCGGTCTAAAGAAATACCATCATAAGGAATGGATCTCTACAGAAACACTGGACAAGATCAAAGAAGGGAAAAACAAGAAGGCAGCAATAAACAACAGCCGAATACGAGCAGAGAAAGTCCAAGCACAAGCTGAATACATAGAAGCAAACAAACAAGTGAAGAGGAGCATTAGAGCCGACAAGAAGAAATACGTGGAAGAACTAGCAACGACGGCAGAAAAAGCTGCTAGAGAAGGAAATATGAGACGGCTTCACGACACAACGAAGAAACTATCAGGGAAATACAGCAAACCAGAGAGGCCGGTCAAAGACAAAGAAGGCAAGCCAATCACTGGAATTCAACAACAGCGAAACAGATGGGTAGAATACTTCGAGGAACTCCTGAATAGGCCGGCTCCAATGAATCCACCGAACATCGAAGCAGCACACATAGATCTTCCTATAGGTGTCAATCCACCAACGACGGAAGAAATTAGAATGGCCATCAGACCAATCAAGAATGGGAAAGCAGCAGGACCCGACAACATACCAGCTGAAGCACTGAAATCAGACATCGAAACAACCACAAGCATGCTTTATCTTCTATTCAAAAGGATTTGAGAGGAGGAACAAGTGCCGATGGACTGGAAAGAAGGACACCTCGTCAAGATTCCAAAGAAAGTAGATCTGAGCAAATGTGAAAACTACAAAGGCATTACACTACTGTCAATACCAGGGAAAGTCTTTAACAGATTGTTGCTGAACCGGATGAAGGATGCAGTAGACGCCCAACTTCGAGATCAACAAGCTGGATTCCGTAAGGATCGGTCGTGCACAGACCAAATTGCAACACTACGGATCATCGTCGAACAATCAGTTGAGCGGAACTCGTCACTGCACATCAACATCATTGATTATGAAAAGGCATTCGACAGTGTAGATAGGAGAACGTTATGGAAACTTCTTCGACACTACGGAGTTCCTGAGAAGATTGTCAATATTATCCGGAACTCATACGACGGACTACAGTGCAAAGTAGTGCATGGAGGACAGCTGACAGATGCATTCCAAATAAAGACCGGAGTCAGACAAGGCTGTTTACTCTCTCCCTTCCTCTTTCTTCTGGTGGTCGACTGGATTATGAAGACCTCAACATCTGAAGGAAAACACGGCATACAATGGACAGCTCAGAATCAATTAGACGATTTGGACTTCGCAGATGACCTAGCCCTCCTATCACATACACATGAACAAATGCAGATAAAGACAGACAGTGTAGCAGCAGTCTCTGCATCAGTAGACCTCAACATAGACAAGGGGAAAACCAAGATCCTCAAAAACAACACGGAGAACAGCAATCCAATCACACTTGATGGCGAAACTCTGGAAGATGTAGAGTCCTTCACATACCTGGGAAGCATCATCGATGAACAAGGAGGATCAGATGCAGACGTAAAGGCGAGGATCGGCAAAGCAAGGGTCGCATTCCTACAATTGAAGAATATATGAAACTCAAAACAACTTTCAACCAATATCAAAGTAAGAATCTTCAATACGAACGTCAAGGAAGTTCTACTGTATGGAGCTGAAACTTGGAGAACTACAACAACCACAATCAAGAAAGTACAAGTATTTATAAATAACTGTCTACGCAAGATACTCAACATCCATTGGCCGGATACCATCAGCAATAACCTTCTGTGGGAGAGAACAAACCAACTTCCAGCTGAAGAGGAAATTAGGAAAAGACGATGGAAATGGATAGGACATACATTACGCAAGTCGTCAAACTGCATCACGAGGCAAGCCCTAACTTGGAATCCTGAAGGGAAGCGAAAAAGAGGAAGGCCAAAGAACACATTGCGTCGGATAATAGAAGCAGATATGAAAATGATGAATAACAACTGGGAGGAGCTAAAAAGAATTGCCCATGACAGGGTTGGATGGCGAATGCTGGTGAGCGGCCTATGTTCCTTCACGAGAAGTAACAGGTGTAAGTAAGTAAGTAAGATTTATTTATTTATTCATTGCAATAGTAAATAGACTTTGGACGATTGTGCGAAATGCAAAAATGAAGTTCAATTTTATTTGTTGGAAATTAATTTTAACATAATAATCTTACTTGTATGGTGTATTTTATTATCGGTTTGTTAAAATTTAATAAAGTCATAAGTTTACCAAGAACAGGAGCCATTTCAAAACACATAGTTTGAAATGCCATCTGTCTCATTTTCTACAATTCATATAGTGAAAATATTCACCTAAAAACATGTGTTAACACTTCATAGAAGTAACTTGTCTTTTGGGCTTACCTGTGTCTATTGATAGACATTTTATTATCAATTTCAGTTAACATTATTTGTAAATGAAAAAAGTTTATATCAATCAGCTAATTAGCAAAATATAGTTTGGATTCATTAATTAGTTTAATCCTGACGTTCTATAGTCATTCGTGAAAATTTTCTTTTACTCGAGGAAGCTATTGATAGAATCAGTAAATTACAATAAATCCCTGGAGCATAACTATTAATATTAAAAAAATACTTAAATTCTCATTACCAAAAAGGTATATTTTAGAGACTTTTGATTACTTTCAGATTTGAAATCTGTTACCACTTATTTTTATTAAGGTCTATGTTAAGGTTAAGATGAACAAATTATCTTAATAACTATCATTGATGTACGTATTTGAACTCATGTATGTACTTCACTTCCTTAGTTTGGTAAATCGAAACAGAAGGGTTAAATATATTATAAAAGATCTAAAGCATATATTTAGTACTGTTTAACAGTTAGATATTTCAGTTGACACTCACATGATTTGTTATCAGACACTCAGTTGAAGATCGGGGGGAGTATTATTATATAACTGGATACGGTGAGCTGAGATCTCCATATACCTAGAGCAAGATAGAAACTCAGATAAGAAGGTTGATAAAGTAATAACAAACTGATTTAATTAAAGAATATGGTG